TTATCAGTAAATTGAAAATACCTATTTATAGAGATGTCAATATAAACTCTAGCAATTATGTTCGGAAAACCACAAGTGCAGTGCAAAATGGTTTCACTTACTCCTTTCCATTTTTCGCATCAATCATAATCTGATAAAATAATATTTTCTATAAGATGGAGCATACTATAATTTATTTACTAGAAGAGTACAAAATAAGAACCGAAAATAAATTGTTTTAGTGTTGTATTGCTAGATTTTGCGTTGATCTTGTTTCAAATGCAAAAGTGCAAAATGCAAAATGCATCGCAGCATACTCCTCCCTTAATCTGTATACATACCCTTGCGGAAATTAAAGTACACCGCACCTTTGGTATAAAATATTTGCTATCTAGCTCTATATTGTGAAGGCCATGCATAAAGGATTGCCATGCATAAAATGGTTTCTTGAGTTCCATCTAGTGTATCATTTACACTTTACGATTAATACAGTGCAATCACAGTCCTCTTTTTTGATATAGTGCTGTAAAAAATAGTGTTTACATGATACAATTTTTTGTAATTTGTTTAAAAAAGGTATTTATGTATTATGATTTTGATTCATAGTTTGAATGTTTTGTTTTAAATCTTCAAGATCCATAGACAGATTTGTACATCGGATTTGAATTAAATATGTTATTTATATATTGCTAGAAGATGACATTGTACTACAATTGGAATTTTTGAAGGAATATCTCAGAAAGACATGCCACTATCCAAGGGCTAAAAGGCATCTTTTTTGATGATAGATAAAATACAGGCAAAAATTCTATGTCGGTATCCAAATTAAATATCCATGTTCTCTGTCGGTTATTTTCTCTTTTTAAAAACCCTAGACGTCTGTCAAAAGTGGAAGTTATTATTTTTTTTATTTCATTTCATATTATTGAATTTTAAAAAGTTTTAAAATGTATCGATACATATTTCATGGCATTTTGAAAGAAAGTGTAATAAAGGAAATGATATGCATGTTTTATTCAAATTGAAAGGATATTTTGAAAGAACTGAAAATTGAGATCAGCAAGAACTAATGTCTCAAGTGTGGTGTTGGCCTCGCGGAGGATAAGTGGTGTGGTGATGTTTATAAACCTCCTCCATATTTAAAAGAAGCAAGCAAAAACTTAGCAGAAAAAAATGGTAAGGACAAAAGTAATGGAAAAATATTCGGAAGTAACTTTTCTTCTGAAATAAGATCAAAAGAAGTATATATATAGAACTTGAAAACGAGAAAGCTTCATTAAACAACAATTGTAAACTTCTTAAAAAGGAGAATGAAAAAACATTGCCAAAATAGTAACCTGGAGAAATTATTTCAGAAAAGGATAATGAAATTGCTTTCAGAGAAAAGTCAGAAAAATACAGTGAGAATGTAGGAAAACTTAAAGACGTTATTGCATAAAAAGATGATAAAATCAAAACGTTAAATGAAACAAGAAAGGATATGGATGACCAAACGACAAAATTACAGCAAATAATAAACAGTAAGGAAAAAGAAGAGAAGTGTCAAAATGCAAAGGTTGAAGAGTTACAGAAACTATAATTGTACAAACATGAAGTTACTGATAAAGAGAAAGGTACTAGTAAAACTTGAAATATCTATAAATTTTGCTACAGTTTCTGTTGCGTAGTACTAGCATTAGTCGAAATGTTAATACATGTACGTAATGTTACAAAGCAGCAGTTTGGAATTACCTGTCCATTACATTTCTGTACGTCTGTCTTACTCAATTTCCTTTGAAAAGTAAGAGGTAGGAATTAGATAATCAGGGCGAACAGTATAAATACACGTGTATATACCTGTTCATATACATGCCTTGATAATCAAAAAGACCTTGTATTTTACCTCTGAACTACTGCTTCGCTGATTTATTGAAAGTGATACGAGCAGCATTTAGAAAACACTACATGTAATAATAAATTTTTAAATAATCCCTTTACATGAACACTTCTCTTGTAGAAAGACAAATACAGAAATTAAACAAAAGCATCGACGGTAGGTATTTTATTTTAATAGAAAAATTAACAAAGAATGGTATTAAATGTACATACAATCCTTAATTTCGAGAAAAAAAATTGTAATTAATAAAATGTTGACTAATTTATCAAATTTCTGTTCACAAAAGACATGAAATACGCGTTATAAAATCAGGAAAGGGAGAATTCAGTTGATTCGTAAACACGTCATCCCTTCTTGGGAAAGAGCAAGAATTAAGTCATATAAAGGGTAAGCTGTCATTTTCTTCTTCTTATTCATAAATACTCTATTCTCAGTCCTCTCCAAACTAAAGTGTTGCTAAACCTGTTATATAAAGAATCCTATTTCAAATTTTTTTTTATAATACTTCTTCTGAAATTTATAGATAGATGTAGACAATTGGAAGTCCAGATCGAAATATACTCCAGAAAAGAAATTTGTTATTGTTTCATAGGTATTGGGGGGGAGAGATTTATAATTTTGCATTTCTTAATCAGAGCTTATTGTTAAAAAGGTGTTGGATTCATACAACACTTGCACCATCCATATCCTCTCTCATACTGGACGGCCTGATGAAAGAACTGACTGGCCGCTTAGCAGTGGAAAAGGTGGATCTGGTGAGGCGTCCATTTTACGGAAGAACAGATCTGAATTGTCCTATGTTAGCTATCTGTGTCAATGTATCAAGGATAGGAACAGATGCTCAAGAAGTTCTTAAGGGAATACCAAAAAGTATGTAGCTTTATAAATGTTCAATTTATTATCTTATGCTGTCAAAACTGCATGCGGTAACAATCAACTATTTTTGAATAAAAAACAAAAAGCTGGAAAGACCTCTTATTGTTCTGTGAACAATAAGTCTCCTAGTTATTATTAGGTCTTTCCACCTTTCTGTGGAAAGCTTATGCTTATGCTTATTTCATACATTTTTACATGTGATAAAATATGTCACAAATTAGATATTTCTATAACTTTGATAAATGGATGAGCTTTTATCCAGTCTTAATATTTATATTCATATTTGTAGGTAATGTGCATTATAAATCTAAGAGATAGCTATATCAAATTGATGAACATACTTGTCTGAAACTTTTCCTTTGTAGATTCAAAGTGTAACATATGGAACACGATGTATTTAACCATAATGACACTTATTTTAGTTACTTTTGGTTGTATAAAATTCTTTAAAAAAGGGACTTTCAATGCGTATTATTATGCATAATATTTAGTTAAGATACATGTATCTTTTTGCTGAATCTGGAAAATTACTATATTAACATCTACATGCTTCCTTCAAGTCTATAATAGTAAATTGTGGTGACTATTTTCATATGGCTTTAATATTTTTCTTTAATATCTCACCTTTGAGTACAATAAGCAAACAGAAAAAAATCATGAAATAGAAAAATAATATTGCATTATTATGGAACATGTAATTTATAGTCATATGTGCTTTCCTTTCTTTTCACAGCTAGTAACTTTAAGGACGTTGCACTTTTGGTTTTCCATCATAAAGAGGCCCATGCTCTACCAAGTTAGTCAAGTGACAAAATTCTCACTGGAACAGATCAGTCATCTAGATACCATCATAGATTTTGCTTTTCTATCTCAGAGAGGAATTTATGAATGTGACATGAACATGATGGGTATCGAACGAATTGCCTCCTTCCTTCTACAGTACAAAACGAGGAAAACTTGATACTAATTTTTAATCGGAGAAAATAAAGACATATCATATACTTAAGACATTTTTGAAATCTTAATTTAAATTTTTACATTTTACGATATTTACAACTACTTTCAATTTGTAAGCAACATCAATCGGTATGAAGAGAAGCATGTCATTTCATATAATAATTTTATCCATGTCATTAGAAAAAAAGTCGGTTATAAAGAAAAAAAATTCTTTTAATTTCATTTTTTTAGTAAAACATCCAACTCGTCATAGAGATAAATTGATGACCTATAATGAATTGATACAGTGTTTTCCATTGAGGTGATATAGACAAGAGTTATTCCCCATAACTGCCATATTGTAATCCAACATTTCCAGATCCCTTCATTATTCAATCAAGTTCAATTTATTAAACTGGTTACTGAGGTAAAAATAACACTATTTTTCTTATTTTTTTTTACTTTTATCCAATCAAATGAAATGTTACAAGTGAATTAAATTATACTAAATTCTTTGAACTTTTTAGACATGTAAATTAGTGTTTATTGTTTTGGTAAAAATACGTTGAAATTTTCGAAACTGTTGTAAACATGTTATAATGATTTTTATTTGTTGCAGAAAATAAACATGTCTAAAGTGTTTCAATGTTTATATGTTGAACGTTTTTATATAGATAAAACTTATTAAAATTATGTAGTGAATTATTTGTGTTTATTAAGTGTATAATCTTTAAACAGTATTTTTGTTCATAAAATGTTTTGTATTTAAACAATTCATACAAGTTTTTTTTAAATATTACACAACATGTTTTTTTTCGTATATACATTTTGTTTTAATATATTATATACATGTACATTGACAAGAAACAAATAAGTAAAATATTTTTATCCTCGCAATGTTAGTATTATTAATCGTTCGAAAGAACAAGGGGTGAAAACTAATTCCAAATTGATTTAAAGTAAACATAAAATTAAATTATACGCTTTTATACAGAAGCCCAATATAAGTGAAATCAAATACACGACTCAAATACACACAATAAGTTCAATAATCAGTAATACAATCTCCATTATAAAAAGAATGACAAAATCAAGTACGTAAAAAATCCAGCTTCATTTCCAATTCAATTCAATTTACAATTCAATCAACCTTTTAGATATATCATATATAAACAAGCTGCAAATATATATATCCAACACAGATGCTTTACTTTTTATATTTTTTAAAGATATAAATTGTTTTTTTTTCGATCAAACGTTAATTATAGCACAGCAACAATGCAACACCAAATTACCCATTAAGGTTATCGATCTTGTCGTCAAAATATACCAGATCCTTTTTGTCGTTTCGAGGAATATTTTTGTCTTTTCCATTCTAGTAAGAAGTAGTCTGAGCTCCTTTATATTTATCTCCCATTATCTCTTCTTCGTGATTTTCGAGAAAATCATCTGCAGCTCGGAGTATCTGACGCAAATTGTATAACGTCAGTATTTTAATCTCTTTCGAGACAGTTGGAGAGTTTGCGATATTTTGCATCGGTAGAACGGTATAGGGAGGCAACCCAAACGACATGGCTATTTTGTCCCTCATCTCTAAGACGCTTTTGCTGTGAAATACTTTAGATAAGTCTTCCTTGACCGTTGCCATCGTATCAACTTTGGTTAGGAGGATCAATTGCGGAATTTCTAAACAAAATAAAAGTTTGACATAACTTAATAGATATGATACTTATTTTGCAAATAAAAATGTCACATAAATTAATTGTTAATTAATATACATCCGATTCTCGTCATTTCCTTTTTAAACAGTGTTCAAACACAACCTACTTCGTCTATTCATCATTTCTTGTAGTTCTTTTACTTGTTTTTCAACGTTCTGAGACATTGTTATTTCAGGTGGATTCGAACCATCAACCACAAAGATGACACAGTGGATACGATCAGCTAAGGTTGGATCTTTTCTGAACTTGGAGTTATCTTTAGTAATTGGTGTACTTTGATTAAACTAATTGAAAAGAATATATAAAGATTCAGATTAATTTATTCTATCTGTATATCATTATTTGACATTCCTTATCGGAGTAATAAACGTACAAGAAATAATTATTCTAATAATTAGAATTATTCTAATAAAACAGTGACGGAACACCGTTCGTTGCTAATCCTTTGGCGACTACCGCAGGAGGCGTTTGTAACGCGAATATGAAGTATATGAGAGGAATGACAATCGCATGCAGCATAAAACCAACAGTCGGCAACACGTAATTTCCCTACTGAGTAACGAACGAGTAGTTAGAATTGACCTAACTCTACCTCTGGACAAGCCCTCATCACAGTTAGAATACGTTCCTCAATACGTATATAGTTGCAACTATAGCCGCTTCAAATTTACAAACCGTCACGGTAGTGAAGTCGGAAGAGCGCTCGCTCCGTGATCAGAGTAAAATGCATGATCACTTCAGTTCTAATGTTATCAGATTGCAAGCACACAACTGATGTTTCATTTTCATAAACGAGATAGCTAAATGTTATTGAACTTTCAATGTGATATTCGGAGTAATCTTAGAACGAGTTGTCTAAAATCGTCTTCTTCCGGTCAAGATCGGCTGGGTTTCGGAAAAATGTGAATAAGAGCAGTAATACGGCGGGATGCTGCTGAATTGTCACTTGTATTTGTTTTATTTCAATAAATTACAGATTCTGATGCTGACAAACAGCCCCACTGACCCAAGAAACCCTTAAAGTAAGTCGGTAATAGGTCCCAGATGAGAGCCAACATGACGGGTAGATTCGGGCCTTGTTAATGTTATAGTATAAGAGGGGTAGACCTTTATACATGATATATGCTCAAAAAAAAAAAGAAACGCACATTCAGATTAAACATGAAAATCTAAGTTTTCACTTTAAGCACTATATTTTAAAAGTGATTTTAGAGTGTGTCGTGACAGAAATCAAACATATCCTAGGTTGTAAATTGAAAAGTTAAGTAAATGTCATTGTCGTCGCCTCTAAATTCTGGGGGGCATACCCTCTTAACTCATCCATATGTCCTTTGCACGTCTCAGCCTTAGTTGATTTCCAATGTACGGACATCGTGCACGAATAGAGCTCCTTTCAGACTCCTGCAAACAATTTGTGCACTTCATCCAGTAATTGTTGCAGCAGTTTGTACAACATTTTGAATCGATTGCGCGGGTGCTGAAGGGGGAGGGGGGTCTGACGGTCGTGTTTGGGGGTGTTACCCGCGGACGGCCAGTTTTTGGTCTATCAAGCGTGTTCCTAACTTGTTGGAAACGTACGTTTAACCGCTGCAAATCCATATGTTGTACACCAAATCAAGTGGCAACGTCCTGATGCGTAGCTCCGGTTATCATCATCGTTAGCCCGGTTGCGTTCATCTTTGTTAAGGCGTGGCATTGCAGCATCAACATTGCAACCAAATCTTAAAGATGGGTTAATTGTTTATTGTTTAATTGTTAAGTATTTATTGTTTCTCTAAATCCAAAATATCAATGAAAATAGACCCCCGATTTACAAGAAATCATGTAAAACACTATTTTCGTAAACATGATTAATCAAGGGAAATAATTCAACACTTTGGTTTTAAAAGCCCATGTTGTACTTTAAATAGGTCACAGGTATCCAATGATAAAAAAGATAGTTGTTCCATATACTTTTTCAAAATTTCTTTGATGAGTAAAACAATATGCGTTTCTTTTTTGTTGAGAATACTTATCTTTCGTCATTCACAGAATTATATGTGGAGCGCTATCACCCCTACTAATGTTATTGTGATTTAAATTCAAGACACGTGGTTTAGGTTGATCTATTCAAAGGTTATAGGGTAGAACCGGTTTTAAAAATAAACACTGATAAAATTAGCAGTAAACTTGATATTCCTATAGCCTGTTTCTTTTGAAAACATATTCTTTTATAAATGTTTCCAGACCTTTCTGAAAGACTTTCATGATTTTCAACAGAAAAAGGGTGGCTAAAGGAGAGGTGTTAAAATAACAATATATAATACTTTTCGGCGAAAATTAGAGCTCACTAGTGACCGATTCGCTGGTAAAAATGAGCATTGTCATCTACACTGCCAAACCTTTGTTTGCCTTACATGGCTATTGTTATAAATGCGCACAGAGGATCATACCACGAGCAACTGACCAATTGTTGAATGAATAGCAACGCTTACGCCAAATACATGTCTACATTTTACTTCGAACACGTAGTTCTGGTCAATCTACGATCATGTTAATGGACTGCAAAATAAAAAAAAATGTTCTTACGAACAAAATATAAAGATAAGAAACTATGAAAGATGTTACGAGCGTTTTTAATATGTTGTTAAATGGAAAAAAATGTTTAATAAAATGTACTTTGTGTCTAGTTCAGAATACCAGCGCTTCAAGGGTAAGGAAAACGAGCAACATCTCATGCATTTAATGGACAAAACTTTGTTTACGTTCGTGATCACGTCTTCGGCGAGGGAATTCACCTGGCAATTGTATTCACCGATAGTACAACAAAGGAATTAATACAGACGCAAATCGCTTTTGCATTATGACTTTTAGAAACCTAGACTTCCGCCGTTTCTTTAACAAATGAATTGTTTGTCATTATGAGCATGAAAATGATATTTTTAAAAATGCTTTTCGTTTACTATAAGATTTTTTTTCAAACGTAAAATTCCTGTAGTATTCGTAGTAACCCATAATGCAATACTCATTCAGCTGATTGGTCAGTTAAAATCATGCTGGTGCCTCATTTGCTAATCTGTCCAAAAAGAAATTTTAATTCATGACTGCAGAAAATTGTAATATAGAGAATACTTTTTAAAGTTTGAATGAATGTAAAAGAGATCGATTGATTGAAGTACATTTCTACAGACATTATCAGCTGATTCTAGGGTGTTGGTGGCGCAGTGGTTAGAGCGTCTGCTCTAGAGTCGCGAAGTAAGGAGTCAATCCTTACGTCGCGGGTTCGAATCCCACTGTGGGACGTGGAGACCGGTCTTTCGGATGAGACGGTATAAACCGAGGCCCCGTGTCGCAGTAGGTGCTGGCATGAAAAAGATCCCTCACTGCTCAAAGGCCCTGAGTGCCGAGTATAGGACAAAATTTGTAGCCCTCCACTGGCAAGTGGCGGCGTCTCCATATGAGTGAAAAATTCTCGAGAGGGACGTTAAAGCTGAACACTTCTCATAAATAGGCACTGTCAGACGGGTATATAAACCGTTCGCTTTCGTTACACCCGATTGCACACTCGAAACTCGTGGCCGACATGTAGTACCCCTATCGTGTTCTCAGATTTTTTGCCTTTATTTCTTATTTTTATGTGCATTTTCTGTTTGTAAATAATGTATTGACCTACATTTTCCATGATACTTTTGTCCTGTTTCGGAAAAAATGCGTAAAATTTGATAATTTCATCGATATTGAGTAGCATGCTTTGCAAGATGTACATCTACACTCGTCGGATCTCTAGAGTGAAATACATTGAACTGATTAGCGATCTGCTCCTTATATACGAGTTGTAGGGAGAGCGTTGAAGAACGGGAAATATGGCAGACTATGCCTATTTACGAGTAGTGTTCAGCTTAAAACAACATACAATCAATCAATTGATTCTAGGGTGTTGAAAACTGAAACGCAACATAATTTTTCTGTTTACCATGCCTCCACGTGCTAGTCACTTCCTAACCACATTTCTGTGAATAATTTTCCCTATCTCGCTGAAGTCTCGCTAACTCTCGCCAGAGCCACTGTCAGACCAACTCTGAACTCATCGGGTTTTATAATTTGCAGAACACCGAAAAATAAAATGCTACATAGAAAATGAACGGAACTAATTCTATCTTTAAACTCGGTACGCTGGGCAATACCATTTTAACTATAAAACATTCATCGAACGATTAAGTACCGGGTACAACACACATTTCGAATGGTATGCTTGTGTGAATGTCTTCTAGAGAATGGTCTATCTTTTAATGACCGGGGTTATCCACTTTGGTGCAACGGACACTCTCTTACAAAAACAAACGACAACTCTGCATGGGAGATTGCCAGTGAAAATCAACAGACATATACCTACTGTATTTTTATTAAATAGACACATCAATACATGTACGAAGTTTCAGTCGGAGTCTTGCAGTATAAGAATCAATTGAAAGCGAATTGAAAGCGAAAAATCTGTCATCCTTCTGACATTTTATAAACGTTGGGTGAGATTTGGGGCATTAAACAATTTTTTTGTTACTTTTTTCCTTGCAATACCGATGTTGTAGAGTATGATTTCTCCTATATCGAGCCTCCCCCCCTCGGAAAATATACTCTAGATTAAGAATTCCCACCCACCCACAAGAGAGATATTCTAAAACCAGAACCAAATTTCCACTTCTTCCAAATTTCCCCAATCTCAGAGTAGGATGCCCCCTTGTTATAAAGTCATTATACAATGGCCAAAAAAAAAAAATATAGAATTTAACACCAAACCAATTTTTTAATGGTAAATGAGTGTTTTCAACTTACATGTATATACTAGTACTCGTACCGTTCAACTGTAGAAGAATTTCTAAACATATATTTCAATTCATGGTGTCTCATGCCTAATACATGTATTTAGCTGTCAAAAGAAATGTAGAACTCCTCAGATTCGAAACCTTAGTTGATTTATGTAGAACTATTACTGAATGTATTGCTTGAATCCAATGAAATAAGAAAGATTGGTATCTCTTGAAAACAAATTAATTAGCTCATATCTAGTTAGTTATGTCCTTTAAACCAGAAGAGAAGAACACTTGATGTGGCCTTCAACTCAACATTTAGATATATCGACGACGCATTGTCAATTAACAATGGTTACTTCCATTCCTATGTCGATACGATATATCTTGGTGAACTTGGGATAAAAAATACCACAGAATCTTACACATCTGTTTCATCCTTGGATATTTTTCTTGAAAAAGACGTTAATGGTAATCTTACAACCAAGCTTTATGATAAACGTGATGACTTTAACTTCTCTATTGTCAACTTCGCTTACTTAAACCCCAGTCACATTTCCAAAAACGACCAACAGCCGACGGGTTTTGAAGCAAAAATGGGATTCTTCGGGTGACAGTCGGCTGTTCATCGGCTGTTGTCTTGCCCGATTTTGACCTCTTTTTTGTCGACCGACCATTTTTGTGTCCATCGGTCCAAGTTATAATTTTTTCTGTGTCGGTGGCCGATTTCATCAATTGAAGTTATCCGTCGACCAACCTTCAATCATCGTCCAACCATCGGCGGTCAGTTTATTAAGTCGGTCGTCCTTCGTTCGACACTAAGGGTGTCCAAAATTTCGGCCGACGGTTAAAATCAAAATGTAGCTAAGAGCTCGATGATCGAGCGAGGATTGTCCGGCTTGTGAATATTTAACCTATTAAGGATACATAACACAAACAAAATTTTGATGCATGATTGATAAATATTTTTGGAACAGAAATAACATAAATAATCAATCTGTTAGATATAAAAAAAAATCTTAAGCATTCTTTGCTGCCTAGATATGCGCCATTTGTCGTTTTTTTAAAATGCAATTTTATACAAAATTTTGCACACATTTTCAACATTGAGTCACAATCTTACAAAATTCTGCCACTTTGCCTTGCAAACATTACTCACGTCACATATCTGAATTTAGATCTATGAAAAATATTGATGATATTTATCTTCAATATTATTTATTTATTATTATTTAATAAATATTGGTGTTATTTATCTAACTCATCGGTATTCCTACACTGAAAACATAAATTTGTCATGTTGACCAGATTTGAAGTCATTTTCTTTCGTTCAGTTAGTCAATACATAATTTGACTATCTGTTTCCTCAACATTACCAGTCTCTGGTCAACTTTGACTTGTAACTGGTCATTTTGTTTATATAATTTATTGGCGGGAAGAAACAATAGCGTCGGTCGCCATTTTCCTCCCAGGAAAACTCGAAGTCATGGTATGTCATGTTTTGTTGTTTTCTTGTTTTAGACGAAATAATTCTATAAAAACTTATTCAAAAATGTTCTACAGAGAAATAATATTGTAATAAACAAAGTACTCGATATTTTTCATCAATAATTGTTGTATTTTACATTATTATGATACATGTACGTTAGGATGTGGGTTGATTGTTTGCATATTCAATTTATGCAAACAGTTCAAATCGAACTTGGTCTAAAATTCAACGATTATTAAATAGGTATTTAATTTATTCTTTTACAACTCACAGTATGGCACGGACTCTCAACTACCACTCAATGGACAAAAAATCAAAATACAATGCCTTTTTACGAATATAGACAAGATGAAAACCACATTAGGTACACGAAGATGTTACCATGAATAGAAGAAATAAGGTAGGATTACACCTACTGATATCATATATTTTCAGTATAATGGTGATTTAAATAGAACTTGTTATTTTTTAACATTCTATTTAATAAAAGAAAATACAAATCGAATAGTCCCTAATGTGCATGTACTGACTCTCCACTTACTATACTGGCCTGCTTCACTAAATATTATTCGTATTATTCCATGTATTTTGTTTATAATACATGTATATGATAAAGGCATTTAAAACAAAATCACAATATGGTTTGTAGTTAATCCATTTCTGACATTTAAAAACAGCCAAACAAGAAGAGAACAGAACTGATGATGATTTCATTCCCATGTGCCATGTTTGCTAAGGTAAACATAATTTTTATTCATTTTAATTGTATGTATTAAACGACTAAAGGTACCCGTTATTTTCTTCTTAATACTGCATATATACCTACTAGTATTTAACTAAATTTATATCTTGATTTCCTTTCAATTTAAATAAATTTGTTTTCATATACTTTACTTTTGCTATCAAGCAATTTAAATAAGTAAATTAAGTAAATTATAAAGACTATTCTTCATTGCAGGACCTGTGAAAAAGAATTTGTAATGATCAAAGAAGAAAACAACCAGTTAATATATTCCTCTGAGGTAGGAAAACAAAGCAACAACTTAACTGAAAGGGTGCAACGAGAGACTGTTTCCTGAAGTTACTTCTTTGATTGATTTGAAATCATTTACAAACAGTAAAACTAATTTGTTTGAAAATATATAAATATCTATGTATGCTATATATGTAGGTGTATATGATCTCTTTTAAATTTTTACAATGTTTATAAGCAAATCTTATGTTTTTTAAGATGATCAGTTTATTATTTGTGTATATTTGGTGCATGAAATAACCATATTTATGAAATTTTATAATAAATAGTTAAAACGTTAGTTGTGTAATTGTTATATTTTGTATCTGAAGGGCATTGATGCGTGATAATCAAAATGATTTGACGCACATAGTCATCATGATTTCCAATATAGTCAAAATGCCTAGAAATATAACTAATTAACAGTCATTTTGATATGAAATTATAATCACTTTGAATATAGGAATCTATCATTATGACAAGAATACAGTCAAATAAAATTGTTATAGTGTACTCATGGTGACTTTTAATTAGTCAAGGTAGGCTATCGAGTTAGTCAGTATGATTTTTCTCGAGTCGTCAAAATGAGCTTAACATATTGTCTAAATGACTAACTGCACCCTCATCTGGAGGACAATCAATCTGATTATTTTTTTAGGTCATGGTGACTAATTTAAATTTTCAGTGTAGGAATTAATGTGACTGCTCCGTGTTGCCCGAACTTGTGTCGGCTGATCATGTTCTTACAGCCGACAAGATAAGAAAAATTTAGTCGCCCGACCATCGGCTTAAATGTTATCTAGACATTAAGGCCCTGTCACACCAAGCTGCGTTCACAGGGAGTCATTACGGCGTTGTTAAATTTTTAAAATCGCCGTGGAATCGCAGGAACTTTGCACAAATTTCTGTAAAATTTTCACAATATGAAGATGTCACGGCGTCCCTACGGCGACAGACGCGATTCTACGGCGATCTCACGGCGTTCTGCTAAGTTCCCACGGAGATCTATCGGCGATTAACTGCGCTTCCGCGGAGTTTTCACCTCGTGTTCACACCGTTCTCCTTGCGCTGGCTGCGTTCACAATTTACGTTCACAATGTGTTCTATATTCATTGATATATTTTCAGAAGGAATATAAAACATTTTTGTTTAAAGATTCAAGTTACACGATAAAAAACTTCTAATCAGGCCAAGAAATATTCTTAATAATTAAAGATGTTCTATTTAAATAATTTAGTACTAAATTATTAATAGTTTTATGATTAAACTCCTTTTTTCAATTTTATCGGTTCAGATATGTTGTTAGATTTTCTTTGATTTATTTAAGAATGTAAAAAAAAAAAATAATAATAAACACACTGAAAAGTTTTCCACAAAATTTAAGTGAAACAACAGCACAAGTTCTGATGTACTTTTCTCTTCCATTTTTTTCACTTAAATGCTCCTAGCTCAACAAAAACGTTGGAATTATTGCTGATCAAATATGACCCCATTGCTCTTGTTTTGTGAGCTGGCTGACAACACTCTACACCATGTAACAACGCCGTGAAAGCGCACTGTGATCGCCAACGGACGCTGTAGAAACGCCATGGGAGCGGAATGATCGCAATAACAACTCCGCGCTGTCGCCGTGTAATCGCAGTCGAAAAAATCACAAGACGATAAATCTCATTAGAAACGCAGTGACATCTCCAAGGACTCCGCGACATCTCCGTGAGGTCTCCGTGGAAGCGCAGTCTACTATCACAGCGTTCGTGCCGCGATCATGTGCGTCTTCACGGCATTCGTACGGAGCTCCCACTACGTTGTTGGAGATCTCACCGCGCTGTTACGGCGATCATACTACGTTTCTACTGCGTTCTTATCAGACCGCGATCACACAGCGCGTACTTTGTGCATGCCCGAAGTGATCGCCGTCCTTCTGGTGTTCTAGGAGACCCTACGCGACCCTACGGCGTACAGTGGAGATCTCGCCGCGTTATCACGGCGCTGTAGGAGACTACTGCGATCACCTTGGCGTTTTGCATTTTTGGAGGACGCCGTGCAGTCGCCGTGAGGACGCAGCCCCGGTGTGACAGGGGTTTTATGCAGCAATAAACTTTCGTCACGACACCTGCATATGGCGTTTATATATCTAAGTTGATTCGATACGCAAGAGCATGCTCTACGTATGAACAATTTTTAAAACGAGGTAAATTGACAAACAAGTTAATGAAACAAGAATATCAGCAGTCTCGTTAAGAGTCATCATTTCATAAGTTATTTGGTCGATACAATGACCTTGTCAGCAAATACAATTTATCATTCAGTCAAATGCCGACTGACGTTTTTCATACTAATTGTTAGTCCATTATTAGTCCCCTACCGGTGAAACCGGGGGGGGGGACTATAGGTTTCCTCTGCGTCCGTCCGTCCGTCCGTCTAGCTGTCTGTCTGTCCGTCTGTCTGTCCCCGTCAGTCTGTCCCACTTGGTTTTCCGCACTTTTTTTCTAAACGCTTGCAGATATTGAGCTGAATTTTGGTATGTGAGAGTATCTTAATGAGTTACAGATCAAGTTTTAATTTCGCTTGGCTTCATTGATTTTTGACAGAATTATGGCATTTTGAATATTTTTCATAATCGCTTAATTAAGATCGGGTTCGAACTGCGCTAACTTCCGATTGTCGACAAAAATATGAAGCGAGGAAAAGACGATGGAGAAATGAGTTGAATTTTCGTCTTAATGTGGATTATTTTATTAGTTTTAAGGCATTTACAACTTGAAAATCTTTCAGTTTTACCTTGGACATGACTTTTGCACATTATAAAATGACATCCTGAAGAAAAAGGGGAACCCGGTAGGGGACATGTATTGCTTGTGCAATACTCTCAGAATGCTTGTTTATACACTGAATTGACAACGGATTTTTCCGTTATTTCCCGATCATGACAAGGAGCACACGGCGGGTGTGACCGGTCAGCAGGGGATGCTCACTCCCCCATGGCACCTGATCTCACCTCTGATGTTTAAGAGGTCCGTGTTTGCTCTGCTCCTATTTTGTATTGTTTTATGGACTTTCATATTGAATACTGTTCGTTATCTCCATATTCTTCACGGTTTGTCCCCATTTAAGTCATAAAAACATCAACAATACTTTGCACATAGTTTACAAATAATTGTTCCACTAGCTTAAGTTATAATTTAAATGCTTTTAAATTCTTTAACGCGTAACTCTGCTTTTACAAATTCCAACAGTGAACGCACATCAGTTTCATAATGTGACCCACTCTTTTGACAAAATTTTTAATCGAATTCACTCGCTGTTTCGTAGGTCCTTCGACGTCATGGATTTTTGTACTTATGTAATAGCACCTGTGTAACCCCTGTTGACCAATGTCTATATAAATTTATGTTATACGGGTATATTTGTGGTAATCTATGTAATGTATACGATATTATACAATTACTACTGTTTTTGAGGTCAATACAATGATTTATCCATCTGAGGAGTACAAATGGGCGAGTTTACGCTTTACAATCCGCGAAGCGGATTATAAAAAACCGTAAACTGACCCAAACCAGGTTATACTCGAATAATTTGGCCAAGAATTAAGAGTCATGCCTTATAATTTAATTCTGAAATGATTCAACAATTATGCTGTTTTTTTTATGAGTTCAAATTTGCCGCTCAATAATAAATCTTTAGTAACGGAAGTGATGGTTAACAAGGGGAGGTAATAACTGATACACAAAGATCTAGCAGCCATTATGTTTGTTTACATGAGGTAAGATAGAACTACTGTTTGAAGTTAAAGGTAAATTTAATAAATCTGGAATTTTCCATGAGTCCCAGGGACTGGAAATGAGGAGTTTGCATGGATACAGATGATTCAGCTTGTTGTCAAGGGGGTGTGTCCCCATACCAAACCAGGTTATTAAGAAATAATTTGCGTTCCTTTTTGGAAATCAACCAATGAGAGACTAGAATACAAACAAAATTAAATTATTGTTGTTTATATTGCACTGCTTTTATTTGAAAGTAATTAATGGATTTAACGTAGAATACAGTTGCAGGGAAATAATTCATTAACCCCCCTCCCCCCCCCCCCCATGGATGCAGAAAAAAATTGTCGAATTTGTCGACCAATTACAATGTACCATTGTTTTGTCAGAAACCTGTTTTTTCCAGATGAACAGAAAAAAGATCTTAAGGATATACGATCCTCAGCCAGGAAGGATAACTCTTTAATTTATAATTAAATTCAAAAAGTCTTAAAATAAAGCTTGAAATTGAAATTTTTTCATGCAACAATTTTCATTTTATGCCTCTACGTATGATTCAATGTTCTTTAAAGTTTTAACAAACGGTATTAAAAAAGTTGACATTTGTACCTCATAAAATTAAGTAAAACTTGCATATTTAAAAAAAAAAAATCAAATTTCTTTAAATTTAGCCTTAGTTACCAATGTTTATCAGTATGATTTGAAATTAGAAGTGATTTACGGTGTTTTCTTTGAAAGGAAACACTTCATACACTATGTATTATGAAACGATGGAAGTAAGTAGGAGAAAGTAAAGTACCAAATAAGTGTAAAACTCATGCAACTTTCTTTAAAAGCCTGGATACCTATGATTTTTATTCCTAAAATGTATTTCTTGATCATTTATCAATTAAAAAATATGCAGTAGGTAGTTCAAGTCGCATTTCCTGAAAAATTATTTGAGATATACTAATTTTCCCTATATAATATGATTAAATTTAAAGATGAAGTTTAAAGAAACACCGTGGGTAAATACATTTTAATTTGAGAATTTAGAGACATCTTTGTGAGCATTTTCAATTACTTAATACCTGATTTTCAGAAGCTGGGGATCGGATAACCTTAACGCTGTAATAAAAATTACGGAGAAAAATGACATGAGAATTTTTCATTTTTTTATATATGTTTCCATTCATATAGTCACCATTTTGAAGAAGGGACACTCACATTTGTACAGCTATTACATTCTACAGAGGGAAACTGGCTATTGGAGAAATCGCACTTTATAAATTTACAGCACAACATATGTATATTTCCTGATAACATTGCAACTACGCGGGACATATGTGTATTCCCACTAAGTTCAATCGATTGTTATGGTAATGAACTCATTGATGAAATTAATGCAAAATCCAATTGTTCAGGAACATATGTATATTTCCTGATAACATTGAGGTAGGACATATTTGATAGTGTAATAGCTGGCTTTATTTAAACTTCTGTTTAATATACATAATTTTTATGCATGCACGTATGTATTAGCTGAGGCATATGTATATCCTCATCTATCATGAGTTATACTTGCTATTTTTTATATAAGGCTAAGGTTTTTAGAGCATATGTCTTTCTCTGGAAAGGTTGGCGCCGGCCTTATTAGATGTATCTGCACTCTGTCACTTACTCAGATTTTCTATATATTCGATCAATGCATACTATCTTTGCAAGATATATAACTGTATTCAGCGGCAGCTCACACATATTGGTCCGACCAAAATAATTCCATCATGATAAGTAGATACAACATTATTGTTCATGATAAGAGTAAAGTTGTGTATGTCATACGTTAAAGAAATCAAAAATAACGTCAAAATATCATTAGAAAGTCACTTTCCCCCCGAAATGCAAATAAAAAATATCAATATTCCTACGCTCGCTCCCTCCTCAGCCTTTTTTTTTTACGTGTTTGATAACAGAGAATAATTAGGTCATTCTTCGATTCATATCTTTTCACCAATGAATTGATAATACTATATCAACAATTGTATTAAGTACATGTTTATAGTCCGTTAATTATCATACAATTTGTTCTTAAAGAAAAAATTAATCATTCTGTGTGTGTGTATTATTAAATGACGGAATTTTCAATCCCTGGCCTGCTCGTGTGTACACTTTGTAAACTGTAGGGTATGTGTGGCAAAACGAGAACTGCATGGGTTGGAGATTCGGGTTCGTGTTGAAGTTCAGCATACCATTATATATAGAACTTGAATAATGTAAGTAATTTCTGCGACAAATATATTAGTATATTTCAGTTATTTTCAAAACAAAAAAGGTTTTCCATGTTCATGATGTTTTCAGTTTAGAATTTTCCGACCCGGTCCTGATTTTCCCAACCCGGCCATTTTAAACACAAGTTGTTGCAGATGCAAATGTTAGAACAAACTATATAAAGTTCAACAGGGATTGTATAATTTTTATTAATCAGAATTCGTATTTATATGATCTAATTAAGAAAAGAAAAGTTTTGTCTGACACCGTAACTTCTCGGCAAAACAAAACGTGTTTCTCCGAGCTCGCTGGATGCGTGTGACAGCTCCATTGCACGTGTGTAGACCAAGGCTACAGGTACATGTAGGCCTATGTGTACTGTTTGTTAGGAGACTGGGTGACCGTAATGCTATGGAATCACGATATTTACAACAGTTCCATAATTAGACAGTGCAGTTTTTTTTATTAACGTCATTATAAACACTGTTAAACATATTAAATCTAACAGTCGAATATCTTTGGATATGGGGTAACCCATATCTATTCTTGTTATTACTGGTGTGGGTTTTACTTCTCTCCTTGGGGTCTGAACTTGATTAATGAGGTTTAATCAAGTACATGGCAGTTTCAGACCACAAGGTATAGGTTGGTTTAAAATTATGTAATCATTTACATCATTAATGGGAAAATTAATGGGAATTATTAATTAATATTGATTAAAAAAATTTTGGGGGGTAAATAATCAAATATTCATAATTGTACATCAAATTTTAATTAGGTTGTGATAACATAAACATTTAATATGATTTACATCATTTTATGCAATTAAAATTGGGTTAATTAATAAAGTCACAGTGGTGGCAGAGTGCAACATAACTTATTGTTTCTGTGTCATGTATGAATATGTATAAGATGGAGGGCTCAGGAGGTTAAAAATGGTTAATTACATTATCGGAGGAAATGCATATTAATTGAATATACGTGGAAGTATGCTATATTGGAATGTGGGGATTCGAACATTGTCAATTATGGATAAATAACTTTACAGCACAAAGTAGGATCTCCCCATGGAAAAATGTATCTGATGGAGATTTTCGTGTGGGAAATCCAACTCGAAAATAATTTTCCGTGGAGAAAATCGTATCCGAAAGCCAAATTTCCGGGGGATCATACTCTAGAGTCAGTTTTCTGGGGAGGGGGATTTAAGAGGAGAAACCCTTCTCTACAAGACCGGTATTCATATGCTTTTCTCTTTTAGCGCGATTATTCCTTCTATTACCAAAAACGAATTTAACGGCTTAAATACCGGTATCGTTTATATAAAAAAACAAGAGGCCCATGGGCCTTATAGGTCACCTGAGCATTATGCAACAACTTTTCAGTGATTGAATTTGATTCATGTTTTAATCCAGATGCTATGGCATTCACAATTTTGATAGAGGCACCATTGATCATCATAACAATACACTTAGCAGTTGCTTAGTTTGTTTACTTAATACCCATAGGCATGGTAGGAGAACAAAAAATGCATTTCAAGTAATCAGTAATATTCAGCATGATCAGTAATGATCAAATCACACATGAACCCCTGACCCTTAGGCCTAGATCCACACATTGCACAATTTTTGAAAAGGCTCCCTTGCTTTTCAAAAATATTTGATTATTACCAAGGAGCAGATTTCAAACAATTCATCCAGTTTCAGTATATAAGTACAGTCCCCCCCCCCTCCGTGATGGTGCCCCTGACCCTGGGGCATTGAAATTCACAATTCTGGGAGATTAGGACCCTTGCTCATCATAACTATATAGGTAGTTCATCTGCTTAATACCAAGGAGCAGAGAAAAAAACTTTCAAAGATTTAATGTATTTTGACTATATAATCAATAGAGCCCCGCCCTATCACTAGAACCCCTGACCCTAGGGCCATAAAATTCACAAATTTTGGAAGAGGTATTCTTGCTTATCATAACTATGTTATTAGTTTATTTCATTCCTAGGAGCAGAAAATATTTTTTTTTCCAAAGAATTCATGTATTTTAATATATAATTAATAGAGCCCTGCCCTAACACCAGAACCCCTGATCCTGGGGCCATAAAATTCACAATTTTGGAAGAGGCACTCTTGTTCATCATAACTATGCACTTATTTAGTTTATTTAATACCCAGGAGCAGAGAAGAAGATTTTCAAAGAATTCATGCAATTTCACTATGTAATCTATAGAGCCCCCCCCTCCCCCTTACATCAGAACCCCTTACCCTGGGGCCATGAAATTCACAATTTTGGAAGAGGCAAACTTGCTCATCATAACTATGCACTTAGTTAGTTTATTTAATACCCAGGAGCAGAGAAGAAGATTTTCAAAGAATTCTTGTATTTTCACTATTATAATCTATAGAGCCCCACCCTAACACCAGAACCCCTAACCCTGGGGCCATAAAATTCACAATTTTGGTAGAGGCACTCTTGCTCATCATAACTATGTACTTAGTAGGTTTATTTAATACCCAGTAGCAGAGAAGAAGATTTTCAAAGAAATAATGCATTTTCACTACATACTTATTTAGCCCCGCCCTAGCACTAGGACCCATGACCCTGGGGCCATGAATTTCACAATTTTGTTAGAGGACTTAATGGTGATTACAATCATGCAAACAGTTTGACTGCTTGATGTCCAGGAATAAAGAAGAAGATTTTTAAAGATTGCTCTAATTTTAGTGGTTTTTGCCACACCCCCAGGCCCCAGGGGGGGGGGACAGGAACCATAAAATTCACAAATTTCGTTCCCCTTTACCCATAGATGCTATATGCCAAATTTGGTTGAAATTGGTTCAGTGGTTTCAGAGAAGAAGCTGAAAATGTTCAAATGTTAACGCACGACGAACGACGACGGACGAAAAGTGATAGCAATAGGTCACCTGAGTTTACTCAGGTGACCTAAAAATTAACATTGACAAAGAGAAAATATTTGAGGTATCTTTCTGCGCTATTCAATTTAACTACGACTAACTTGGACATTGTAGTAATAATTTTTTTGCACGTACATGTATATTTATTCAAATACAAACCACATATCCATCCATCACGTGACCATCCAGGATATATTCAACATCGCGAGAGTCCAAACTTTGATCCTCTTCTAATCCACGACAATCTACCACTCTAAAGTTTAGGGTGCCAGAGTTTTTTCTTCCTTTTACTTTGTAAATATCCAGCTAGAATTAAAAATAATGTTTTATAAAGAAGTCAATATTCGATGCTCTCAAAAGACAAAATACCCGCCCGCAATATATATAAAATCCAAAACATGGACATGTCTGACTTCTGTTTATGTGAGAATTTGAACGTAGACTATACAGACAATATATATAAAATCACAAACATGGACATCTCTGACAATTATTTTATGTGAGAATTTGAACGTAGACTATTGTTATTTTTCTGAGATAGGGCGACGATTGTATTAAGAAACAAGTTTTTCTTAAATAATAGCAGTTGATTGGACGAATTCCGTTTTCGTCCATCGTCATGCGTCGTCTATTGTTCGTCGTGTGTTCACATTTTAAACATTTTCAGGTTCTTCTCTGCAACCACTCAACCAAATTTGGCACAAAGCATCTATGGGTAAAGGGGAACAAAAATTGAGAATTTCTTGGTCCCTGCCCCTGGGGTCTGAGGGGCCAAAAATACTAAAATTAACTACTACTTAAAAATCTTCTTCTTTATTCCACGACATCAAGCAGTCAAACTGTTGGCATGAATGTAATAAACATTGAGTCCTCTGCCAAAATTGTGAAATTCATGGCCCTAGGTCAGGGGTTCTAGTGCTAGGGCGGGGATATATAGATTATATAGTGAAAAAGCATTATTTCTTTGAAAATCTTCTTCTCTGCTCCTGGGTTTTAAATAAACTAACTAAGTACATAGTTATGATAAGCAAGTTTGCTTCTTCCAAAATTGTGAATTTCATGGCCCCAGGGTCAGGGGTTTTAGTGTTAGGGCGGGGCTATATAGAATATATAGTGAAAATGCATTATTTCTTTGAAAATCTTCTTCTCTGCTTCTGGGTTTTAAATAAACTAACTAAGTACATAGTTATGATGAGCAAGAGTGTCTCTTCCAAAAGTGTGAATTTCATGGCCCCAGGGTCAGGGATTCTAGTGTTAGGGCGGGGCTATATACATGTAGAATATATAGTGAAAATGCATTATTTCTTTGAAAATCATCTTCTCTGCTTCTGGGTATTAAATAAACTAACTAAGTACATAGTTATGATGAGCAAGAGTTTCTCTTCCAAAATTGTGAGTTTTGTGGCCCCAGGGTCAGGGGTTCTGGTGTTAAGGCGCGCGCTATATATTATATTGAAAATGCATTTATCCTTATTCCTTTGAAAATCTTGTCTGCTCTTAGGTATTTAATACACTAACTAAGTATATAGTTAAGATGAGCAAGAATGCCTCACAAAATTGTAAATTTTATGACCCCAGGGTCAGGGGTTATGGTGTTAGGGCGGGGCTCTATAATGATTATATAGTGAAAATACATTAAATCTTTGAAAATCTTCTTCTCTGCTCTTGGGTATTAAATAAACTAACTAAGTATATAGTTAAGATGAGCAAGAATGCCTCCAAAATTGTAAATTTTATGACGCCAGGGTCAGGGGTTCTGGTGTTATAGTGCTATAGTGAAAATACATAAAATCTTTGAAAATCTTCTCTTCTCCTGGGTATTAAATAAACCAAGTAGATAGTTATGATAAGCAAGAATGCCTCTACTAAAATTGTGAATTTTATGGCCCCAGGATAAGAAGTTCTGGTGTTAGGTCTCTATTGATTATATAGTGAAAATACATTAATACCTGGGTATTAAGCAGACGAACTACCTTTATAGTTATGATGAGCAAGAGCCTTTCCTCCAGAATTGTGAATTTCAAGGCCCCAGGGTCAGGGGTACCATAGAGGAGGAGGGCTCTACTTATATACTGAAAATAAATAAATTGTCTGAAATCTGCTCCTTCTTATTAATCAAACATTTTGGATTTGCAAGGATGCCTTTTCAAAATTTGTGCTATGTGTGAACCTTGGCTCAGGGGTTCATGTGTGGTAGGAGCACTACTGATTATTGTTGAATATTACCGATCAGATGAAATGCATTTTTGTTCCCCAACCCTGCCTATGGTATTAAGTATCAAACTCTGCAACTGCTAAGTGTATAGTTATAATGAGCAATGGTGCCTCTTTCAAAATTGTGAATGTTATAGCATCTAGCGTAAAACATGAACCAAATTCAATCACTGAAAAGTTGTTGCATGATGCTCAGGTGACCTATAAGGCCCCTGGGCCCTCCGTTTGATTCATTATGGGGAATACCTACTGATTTTGTTAAGCTAGAACTTGCACATCCGGCACGTGACCTGAGGGAAAGTCTCCCTTTGATAACCGAATCCACTGTATTGAAGAAACTTGATTTTCCCGATGAAATACGTCCCACTAATAACAAATTGACATGAGGGATTTTTGAGTAGTTTCCATTCTCTAGATCTGCCAAGGGCATGTATTTTTCTATTTCTGTCAGAAGGCTTTCTACGGACTGCAACAGAGAAAAAAAGGATGATAAATGATTTATAAAGTGAAAAAATAATTCCTATCTCTATGATTGACTGCGATCCAATAAAATGAAAACACAACATTCACTTTTAACATGACTAAACTACTTTATATCTTTATATATAAATAAAGTTAAGTTAAATCACTTTTATATGAACAATAATTTACAGTACGAGGGCTGTTTGTAAATTTTTGAGACATTAAGCTTCTTCCATTAAGGTAAGAGGTAAATTCATGAAAATCCGTCAACATTGTATCAAGAACAAATAAAAGAAATGTGCAGAATTCTAATTTATAGGAAAATACGTAAAAGGTAGTTAACAGCGAAACACAGGTGCTTGTGCAGTAAAATTTTTAACTTTGCATATGTGGATTGACCTGGAACTTCGATCGTCACTTTAACGTCTCATCAGCTGTAGATTTTTTTCTCATGCTAAAATGATCTGGAAGCATTCAATCTTCTTTCTATGTCATCATATGTAACATGTAATAAATCAAACATTTTTCCTTTAGCGATTATTGAAAGAAAAATAATAAAATGGGTATTACTATTACCCCAAATCAAACTTACACAAAGTTTCCTTCATCGGTTGACTTAGCATCACGCAGTGCCGATTTTTACAACGTTGGTAGCTACACTGATTTTAAACTATGTTCGCTGCGCCGTCTCGGCGTCAAAATTCATTTTGGCATTTTCTACTGTGCTTTTTTGTTTTGATCTTTGTTTATCTGATCTATCAAACTTGCAAAAAGGTAGTGAAAATGAAATTAAAAAAATATATAGAGAGAATTAAATTGATTTTAACTCTTATCATAGCTCATCGGGAGTTTGAACGTTTATATTGTTAAATTTTCTCAGTACATATATCTAACTGATTTTGTGCCTGCGCTGGATACCCCTTCCATTGACACATTAATAAAAAATATAATATTTGTGAAATATTTCTTTTTTTGATTGATTATTAGTGGTTCTGAATTATAGATGCCAATCTTTCTTATACCCTCTGCTTGAAAAGTAGAGGGTATATAGTGATCGGGATGTCTGTGCGTTCATCCGTGTGCCTGTCTGTCCGCCCGTCTATTCGTCCGTCTGTTATGCTTTGCTGTACCCATCTCTTATCCACAACTCCTCCTATATCACTGAATAAAATTTACTGATACGTTCACAGAATCTTTGTTACATAGTGCCATTGTGCATCTTTATATTACTTTTTGATCCAACACATATTTTGGGTTCCCAGAGCAAAACACGGACAAGGCCATTTCTTCTACGATAATAAAGGGTACTTATTTGGAATGAGAGTACCAAATCCCCGGATGAGCACATGGCTTTATTTGTGGCATAATGTAGAGTCAAGTACTGAAAAGGTTGGCATTATCTGATTGGCTGAAATGAGGTATGCAATGTTTTTCATTTAAAGTAAAATATTAATGATTGAAATAAATGATGGAATGTAGGAATATTAAAGGGAATATAGAAATACCAGGGGAGATTGTAGGAGCGGGGGTTGACTTTTTTTTGCAGAGTGTTATTTACTGCCGATACCCTATAAGTTTTAAAGAACTGCAATTTTGACCTATAAACGCCATAGGACCTTATATTTTTTTCGGGATTTTTTTAAGCGCTTGGATGAAAGATTCAAATGATACAAAGGAATTGTCTGAAATTAAATTAGATAATACCATTGTGACCTCCTATTTTACTTTTTGATCTGACACTTATTTTTGGGTTTCCCAGATCAAAACATGGACTTTGCCATTATAACCATATGGGAAGCGGGGATGGGGTATGATTTAGTAAGCTCATTGCTCACCGTGCCTCTAGTATTAAAACGGCGTTCATTATAAAGAATAATAAACATGATGGCTCAATAATTTGCAAACAGCTACCGCATGTTTTTGTATGAGAAAATACAGGTGCTTTGGGATTACTGTTTTGTCACTTTTTTTGTTGAATATTTGGTTTGATGTTTCTTTTAACAATGCATATGTCTTTGCCAACAAATTTCGAATTCATTGAAAAACAAGAGCCCATGGGCCTTATATGTCACCTGAGTATCATGTAACAACTTTCCAACAATGATACGTGTTTTAAACCAGAGGTCTTGAACTTCACAATTTTGAAAGAGGCACCATTGCTTATCATAACTAGACACTTAGCATGCTTACTTTGGTAACTTCATACCCAGAGGTAGATCAGAGCAACAAAGAGAAAATGCATTTCTACTTTATCAGTTGTGCATCCCATCTCAGAGGAACCATTGACCCTGGGGCCACATCTTTAATAATTCTGGAAAGTTTATATCATCATGTTGTTACTTAATATCAAAGTGCAGATTTCAAAACATTGAATTGTTTTCAGATTATGTACTCCCTCCCAAGTACCTCTGTCCCAGGGGCCTGGAAATTAACCATTTTTGAAGAAGCAGCTTTCTTCGTCATAAACATGTACTTAGATAATTGGCATAATACCCAGGATCAAAGGAAAAGATTTTCAAAGAATTCATGCATTTTCACTACATAAACATTAGGTCCCCGCCCTAACACAAGAATTCCTAACCCATGGGCCCTGAAATTCACAGTCTTAAAGATGCATCCTTCCTCCTCATAACTATGTAATTGATTCATTGGTTTAATACCCAGGTGCAGAAAAGAACATTTTTAAAGAATTTATGCATTTTCACTATATAACCAATAGATCCCCACCCTAACACCAGAACCCCCAATCCAGGGGCCATGAAATTCACAATTTTGGAAAAGGCAGCCTTATTCAACGTAACTATGTACTTGGTTAGTTTCTTTAATACTCAGGAGCAGAGAAGATTCTCAAAGAAATAATTCATGTTCACTAATCTTTAATCTTTATAGCCCCGCCCTAGCACTAGAACCCCTGACCTTTGGGCCATGAAATTCATAATGTTGGAAGAAGCTGTCGAATTCAACATAACTATGCACTTGGTTAGTAAATTTAATGCCCACGAAGAGAGAATAATTTCAAAGAATTTATGCATTTTTATTTTATAATCTTTATAGCCCCGCCCTATCACTAGAACCCCTGGCCCTGGGGCCATGGAATTCCGAATTTTGGAAGAGGCAGTCATTTCCAACCCAACACTATGCACATGGTTTGTTTATTTAATGCACAGGAGCAGAAAAGAAGAATCTAAAACAAATAATATATTTTCACTATAAAACATATTTAGCCCCGCCCTAGCACTAGAACCCCTGGCCCTGGAGCCATGAATTTCACAATTTTGGTAGAGGACTCCATGCTGATTACAATCTACCAACAGTTTGAGTGCTTGATGTCCAGGAGCAAAGAAAATTTTTAAAGATTGCACTAATTTTAGTGATTTTGGCCCCATCCCAGGCCCTACTAGGGCAGGGATTATGAAATTCCCTATTTTTGTATTCCTTTACCCATAGATGCTATATGCAAAAATTGGTTGAAATGGGTTCCGTTGTTTCAGAGAAGAAGTTGAAAATGTTCAAATGTCAACGCAAGACGCCGGACAAAAACGGTTAGCAATAGGTCACCTGATTTTACATTAAAAACAAATCATAAAGCTAATTTCTTGTACTTTTGATTTCCAAAGGAAAAATAAATTTTATAACACTACATGTATTTTTTTTTAACCTTTTCGGTCCAATCAAATCCATCCATTTCTTGCCATGGTTTCTGAAGGAAATCATCAGAAATATTGGATGTTGGTTCTTTATATCTGTAATATAAACAACAGTAAATGAAGGAGAATTTTTTATTCAGTGGAACTAAATATCATTAATTTCATAGTCAATTTTTTGATAATCGGTTACTCGGACGTTTTTCCGATCGTGTACCCGGGGTACTCGGTATAATGTAAATTCAAGTGTGCTGATTTTTAGTCCCATTAAGCTTTCTTAAACTTCAAAGCTGTTTCTATCATATTCATAAATGTAGGACGATTCTCTGTTAAGCATGGACTTTCAGTAAGGCGTGGCATGCTTGACGTTACATAATAAGCATCTGAAAACACGGCTTTCATTCACTGTTGAAATATACATGGAATAGAAATTCGAGCAAATGTCAACCACTGTACCGAATAACCAATAACATTGTCTCGCCCGGCAAAGTGGTGGAGCTAGAGTCATCTCATCGTTGTCAACAACAATTTAAAGTTCCTGATGTTATTAATTTCCCAATGAGAATCTACTCTAGTATTCGCCATTTGACAGACGCTAATTAAGTAGCACCGAAAATGCCACGCCTAACTGAAAGTCCAAGCTTATCAGAGAATCGTCGTATATAAACATCGAGTCCAAAGGAGAAGATTTTTTCGTACTTAATTTATTTATCACATAAACACAAAAGACACAATTCAAATGCATCGAAAATTAGAAATGGTTTACACTTCTTGTTGAGGATCTATTTAATCAACGCAAAAGTAAGACAATCTGTATTGCAGGTTTGTAATAATTACACTTGCGAAAGAGAAGGAACAGATGTTGTTGGGATCGCTAGTCTTATATTATTATGCCCCCCGCTTAAAAAGCGGGAGGGTATATAGTAATCGTTAATTCCGTTCGTCCGTCTGTACGTCCGTCCTTCCGTCCGTCTGTTACGCTTTGGGGTACCCATCTCTTATCCGCACTCCTCTTAAACCACTGAGTGAAATGTAATGAATCTTTCACAGAATCTTTACTACATATTGCCATTGTGTACCTCCTATTTTACTTTTTGAGGTATTTTAGGTTTCCCATAGCAAAACATGAACATCGCCATTATATTCTTACCTATGACGTGAGATATGGCGGCTTCTAAATAACATTAGATAAATATGACTTATTCTTCTTTACACGTTACCGTAAAACAATATATAGCAGAACATGAACATTACGGAAGGCGGGGAGTATCATTTAGTGAGCTCATTGCTCACAGTACCTCTAGTTTTTACTTATCTAGAAATATTTCTTCACTTTTGAAGTTGGTACCGGCATTTCTATGCATGTCCAATATCGCTGACGTAAACAAACGAAATAATCTTAAACTAGAGGTACTGTGAGCAATGAGCTCACTAAATAATACCCCCCGCCTCCCATATGAATATAATAGCAGTATCCATGTTTTGCTCTGGAAAATTCAAAATATATGTCAGATCAAAAAGTAAAATAGGAGGTGCACAATGGCAATATGTAATAAAGATTCTGCGAAAGTTTCATGAAATTTCCTCCATTGGTATGAGAGGAGTTGCGGATAAGAGAAGGGAAAATTTTGAAATACTGGATGAAATTTAAAAAAAACCCAGTGATACTTGTATTTTACAATCATGTTCTCAAGATATGGTTGGAAATAATGATGAATGGATTGTAAACATTAAGAAAGAATTTAAAAGGCTTGGTTTAACTGACATGTATAATAGAAATTGTATTGAAGATAATACTTAGAACATCTTATTTCAAAGAGTTTGACAGTTATAAACAAGATATTATGGCAAGAATTTGTATTTCTGTTAAATATTAAGTGGATAATCTTGTACTACAGACGTATTTAAGAAAACCATTACAAAGTATGGAATACCTATTTGTCATTTAAGACTATCGGTGCATGATTTAAAGATATGAGGGCTGTTCAATAAATGTTGTTATCGGTGATCGGAAAGAAGCGAAAGACACTTTTCAATGATTTATTCTTAATGATTTAACTTAAATATTCTCATGTAATTGAAACACTTGTCGGTAACATTTTTATCCAATTTCTGATTGTTTTAAGAACTCATTTTGAGTATGGTCCTTCGTATACTGGATAATGGCAGATCCTATAATTTCCTGGACTTGTTTCTTCTTTCTGAAAGGTTTTTTTTTTCAAGCTTGGAAAATGAACCAAGTCAAAGGGTGACAGAAATGGCGAATATTATTTTGTGACCTTTCTGCTTATACCCAAAACTCCTTTACTATTCATGGCGTGTTGGTTTGGACGCTGTCATGAAGAAATTTAATGTGGTGGTTTCCTGAATGTAGCTCCTTACTCTCAAAAACCTTTCGATTTTTTTTGCAAAAAGTTTGCCTTCTAGATTCCTTAAGAAATTGAACTGCCTTCCCAAATAAGAATTTGAACAACAAGACCACTAATATTTGAGAAAATGGCATATAAAACTGTCTTTGTCCTCTTGTAATTCTTTACTCTTTTTAGACCTTTGTTGTTTTTGTCAAGTGCCTCTTCTTGTAAAAATGTTTTAAGGGAAATAAAGCAATGGAATCGTTTCATTTTCTGTTTGATGCAGCGTCTCGAATGACCCTTGTTTTGCAGCTTCTCACAATGAAAATATGAGATGAAAAGTGGTCAACTGATATAAATTCATTAAAGATTAAATCATGAGAAAAAGTCAAACTTAATGTCATAGGATATATGTGTTGTATGTCATAGAGTTCAGGACAATATTTAAGGAACAGCTCTCGTAAAGAGAGGAAGGTATAGTTATATAGAAAGAAAAGATAGAAAATGTGAAATATGCTTATCAGATGAGATAGAGGACGAGTTTCACTTTGTATTAAAATGTCCTCGATATGAAGATCTTAGAATTAAATATAACGGGAAATATTGTTTTAAAAAATATCCATCAGTATTTCCACTATTCTCTAAAAACTGTAACCTGTAACTTTTTTTTTCTTTCTACAGCATAAAACTCAATAAATAACAAAAATAATCATATTGTATGCTACAACGTATTTTATTTGGCTTATTTTATTTGACAGATATAGCCTACTTGCAATTTAATTGTTTTGTTCTCCACCTGCACCCCAATTCCCATTTAGCCAACATAGATTTACCCATAGGCGCTTTTAACCTTTCTTTTGATAAATAAACAAATCCCCTTTACCATAATAATAATAATTATTCTTATAAATGTAGTATAGGGATTTATTTTTATTTATGAAAAGAAATGTAAATTAAAAACGTCAAGTGCCTGTGGATTTACTTGTGTTTTACCTACATGTATAATTTTTTTGAATACATTGTATGTTCGATGTCCATGACTACGCTTACGTCTTGGTATTTCATTAAATAGACACAGACTTTAATGAAGTGTATATAGAATACAAAAGCAATTTTTGTTCAACTTTAAATATCTAGAAAAAATCTTACAAGAGATATATAGTGACTTTAATACACGTAATAACGATAATGGGAGGTTAGTGGGGCGTAGAACAGTCTGCTGCAATCACAGTATAGCATCGAATTTCGAATGACTTAAAACACCATAATATCTACCTTATACTAAAATTGTGACTGAATCATGTGTAGCACGGATTTAGCCTAGTATTAACTTGTGCACATCTTCAAGGGAGGTCAACACTACCGCTACATCGCCAAAACATTTCAACTCATTGCCGTTACATTTTTCAAATATTTGACCGATCATTACCGCTACATTTTTTCGGCCGAAAACAAATCATTACCGCTAAATATTGAATCAGCCTTGTATGGTACGGAATATGAGTTCTGACTAACCGAATTCATCACTATGTATAGTGAGGTACAATTTGGATTGGAAATCTAATAAGAATGAGTAAATATACCGCACATGCACCTGGCGTTACTTATTATTCTTTTAATAAAAAAAATATACCCCTCACAAGGTATCCATCGGACCCCCATCTTGGATTTTCGAAGTCGGTCACATCCACTTATATTTTCGTCTAAAGCTCCGTAAAATAAATTCCCTGCAACCATATTCTTTTGTTTTTCAGTCTTTCGAGGTCTAAACTTACGACCAGCAAGCAGAAGGTCACATCACCCTTGCACTATTAAAAATCCCTCGTCGTAAATACGAAAATCTCAAGGTCAAGGCTTAAAGTTCAAAATTGTTGGTTTCAAATCAAAGGTCTTGCCATAAAGAATTGATATTTGATATATGTTGCTAGTATCTACCATTTAAGACTTAGGGCCAAAGTAAAAGTTTGAATTTTTATGTAAAAGTGGACCAAACTCCAAGGTTAAGGTAAAAAAAAATCAAATATGGTGGTATCCAAAGAAAGGTCATGACACAAGGAATACACACGTGAAAAATGAAAGTCATAGCTCCACTAAATCCAAAGTTATGGGCAAGGTTAAAGTTTTTGTGGACAAACAGACGAACAGAGAGACAGACGGACACGACAAAAACTATATACCCCCGAAACTTCGTTTACGGGGGCATAGAAAAAACTAAAATCGACCTCCTTCATAGTGTAAACGTACAGTACAGTAGCAATAAGCAACTTCAAAGAATTGTGGTCCCCCGATTTCGGTGTCTTTGTGGGTGAGATGTCATTTTTATGCCATATTGTCTCAAATATGAATGCCCTATCAGATGTCATTTAGAAATTATCACTGAAGTAGGATACTTTCTTAAGGTCAATTGTGAAGGTCAAGGTCAATGGGTCACAAATCATAGCATACTTGGAAATATCTTGTCACGGTACAGGTAATGCACATGTCAAATATGAAAGACATATCTCTTCTCAAGATAAGGAACAAGATGTGTTTGTGAAACACTGATGACTCCGTATGGCAACATAACGAAGATAAAACTTTTCTTAAGGATATCCGATCCTCGGCCAGAAAGGATAACTATTTAATTTATAATTCAATTCAAAAGGTCTTAAAATAAAGCTTGAAATTGAATTTTTTTAGTGCAACAATTTTCATTTTATTCCTCTACGTATGATTCAAACTTCTTTGAAGTTTTAACAAACGGTATTT